GTTTGCCCACCCTGCGGCCGCTCGCATCCCGGCCCGGCCGGCAACCCCGCTCCTTCCTTCCGTCCGCGCGTCCGTCCGAGCGGCGGCGCCCGGCCGGCTCCCTTAAGCGGAGGCGCCTCCTGTCGCCTCCTCCCCCTCGCCGGTCCCTCCCTCTCTGCTCGCTCCGGCGAAGTTTGCACGTCAAGCCCCCGGAGTGGAGCCAGGGCGAAGTCGGAAACGCAGCCACCTATGGAAGAGCCGGCCGATCAGCCCCGGCGCAGCGACTAATGCGTCGCCGAGGCCCTCCCTCCGGAGCCTCGGGCACCGGCACTTCGCTCTGAGCTCGCAGGCAGCTGCACAGTAGCTGGAGCATGAATGAGAAGCCGCCACTGTGCGGACGCCCAGCAACTTAGGAGCCACCGGCAGGTGTGAAAATGCCACCCAGGTGTCAGCCCAGGTGTCTGCCTCAAGCCCCTACTGCAAGGGAAGCAGCCCACGTGTACCTCAGTGCCCACAACCGAAGGTCACACTGTGTGTCCAGGGAACTTAAATTTCTTCTCCAGCAAGAAGGGGCCCACGAAATCGGTGTATCCCTTTAACTTGAGTTGTTAGTCTCTTACTATTTACGGTTGTATTTCCTAGGATGAGATGAGAACCCATGGCTTAGGGAATATACAAAAGACAACTAACTGTGTTTGGTCAGATTTTAATCACCAAGTTAGGCACTAGCACATAAATTTAACACCCTCCCCTCAATATACACATACACAACTTTTTCGTAAGTGATGGGCTGAGGATCATTAAACAACTAAAGCATTCTTAGCAGTGGGCCACAAGGAGCCTATAGTAAATGTTGCCATTATTGCTGTGATCATCATGTTTCACATCTCAGTAAAGGAGCACTCTTCTAACCTGTTCAGAGCCTCTTGCTTACAGGTGTTTTCAGAGACTAGGTGAGGAGAAGGTGAGCTTTCCTGTATTTGCTGTTACTGCTACTTGTTCTTCTTTAGTCGCAAATATCTAGTAAGAGAGGTGTCCAACTTCTCTGTTGAAGAAGTGTCTAACTTACAAAAACCTTTAAAATGTTTAAACGAGAGCAAAAGAGAGTACAGGACAGGCATGGTGGCACACGCCTTTAATCCCAGCCCTCAGGAGGCAAAGGCTGGGGATCTCTGAGTTTGAGACCAGCCTGGTCTACAGAGTGAGTTCCAGGAGAGCCAGGACTACACAGGGATACCCTGTCTTGGAAAAACAAAACAAACAAAAAACAATAAAAAAAAAAGTGAGTACAGAAATGTTTTCACAATACATTAAAATCAAGACTCAGTGAAAAGGTTTTGATTCAGATGCAAATTGGAAAGCTTGAAGTGTGTGTTGTGGTATGTGCCCAGAGTCCCCAGTTTCTTGGGAGGCAGAGTAACTTCAGCATAGTAGTAGTTCCAGACAAGACTGAGAAACACAGTAAGAACTTGTCTTAAGTAAATAAAGCATCAACCCAATTTCTGATTAGACACGTTTAGAAATTAATATGCAGTACTTTTTACCTGGATTGCACACACATAAATCCCAAAAGGAATCTGATGAGTGCTCATCAAAGACAGCTGCTCCTTGAGCCCTCAGGCTCGACACCTACAGACTCAACTAGCTGCAGGTTCAAAATACAGTTTTGATAGTTTTTAAATTGTATCCATACTGAACACATACAGTTTTTTAAAAATTTCCCTAAATACAATGTTACAACTGTTTACATAGAATCTACAATTTAGTGAGTATTCTAAATAATCCAGAGATGATCTGATCTATATGGAAGGATGTGTGTTGTTTACATGCCTTTTTATAGAAGGGACTTGAGCGCTTGTCAATTTGGGTATCTGTGGTGATCCTGGAACCTAATGCCAAGGCATAGTTGTAACCAAAACTGATTGAGATGACTGGAAGATTTTTAAATTAAAAAAAAAAATTATAAGTTTTAACCTCCTATATAAAAGTATGCACCAGTGAAGGACAAGGTTAAAAACACATGTTATGTTACTAATTTAACATAGCTTGTGTGTCTCCAGTGCAGATGCTCAAAGTTTTCACTAATCACTGAAACAGTTGCATGATTATTTCCCAAGATACAATACCTACAATTTATTTATTACCTTTAATTTTGTAATTCCACATTTAAGATAAATTAAAATGTGAATTCCTTGGAACTGCTCACATAAAGCAAAGCTTAGGAGCACAATTATTTAAATACCAAGACCATAGCTGTGCTATACTAAGAAAAAAACCTCTCAGGTACCACAAGGAGCTGACATCTTGAGTACAAATGTTCTGATTGCTGAAAGTACAGGGTGAGAATGAAGATAAAAGGAAGAATGGCGACAATGCTTGATGCTTCTGCTTTCACAATGATAACTCCCAACCAATGAGGATCAATATGGCAATTTACAGGACTTCAGCTTCTAATTTCTGCTTGGTAATTCTTTTGTTTTCAAAGTTAACATATACAAAAGCAGAACAGAACTTAAAATTGTAAGTACTAAATTTCAGCATCATGCTAGTTATTAAGAAGCGTTATAATAGCTTTGAACACCTACAAGGTACAAGGGATATGCCATGGGTTCTCTAGTGCATTCACAGTTGTATAAGGTCAAAGTTGTGTTATTTATAACTGAGAAAGAGGCTAAGTGTGGTGGCACACACCTTTGACCCTAGCACCGGAGAGACAGAGGCAAGTGGATCTCTGTGAGCTCAAGGCCAGTCTGATCTACACAGTGAGTTCCAGAACAGCTAGAGCTACATAATAGAGATACCTTCTCAAAAAATGAATAAATGAAACAAAACAAAAAACCCAAACTAACAAGAGAAGAGAGGCGAGATTCCAAAGCCAGTCTTCTTAGTGCTGGATTGGTATTAGCTCTTCTACTCACAAATATGTAACCTTGAGCAAGTTACCTAGTTTCCCAGGATGTCAGCTTTCTAGTCTGTAAAATGGAGATAAAGCCAGGCTTCTGAGGACTACAGGAAAAGATCCTTTGAAAGCACTTGGTATCAAGCTTAAATGCTGTAAGTGACTTGCATCAGACTGAGCAATTCAGTTGACTCCTTATCAAATGACATTTCCTACCAAATGAAAGAGGATGGAGAGACATGCAGTTCCTGGCATTTCTACCCATCAAAAGCCCCAATATTTTCTAGAAAGAGTCAGGTGTTCTCCACAGCTTTTTTAGGTCTCCTAATTACTAGTTTGAAGGAGTCACCAATGAAAGCAAATAGAAAGTTCAGAGAGTAAGAAAGTGTGTTTGCTATTCAGATATTGGCAAGGTTTTTAAAGTAGTCCTTATACAAAGAACATTGTTTGTGAACAACAATACAATAGAAATCCAGATACTTACTTTTTCCTGTCAGGAAAGAAACGATGACCTTGTTTCTAAATATTGCACCCTCCATACCCACTCCCAAACTATAAAGAAAATGACCCATACAACTCATACACATTTAATGTATTGTCACGATATGCTAGTGTGTTTTATACAAAATCAGTACTTCAAGTACCTATCTATACCTTAAATGATACATATTTTAATAAGGTTTGAATAAGGAGGTTGCAATTCTCCAAGCAGTTCCTGAGTGCTTACTACCTGTTAGGCACTCTACTAGGCATCAGGGTAAAACAAAAAACAAAAAACAAAACAAAACAAAAAAAAAAAACTAATTTCATAGAATACAGGAAAAAATAAACAATTAAGCATTTATCAAAATGCCTATATTAAAAGCTGCCCATACCAATCAGAACGAATGCAGCTTAGAAAATGACTGAACAAGGGGCTCAGCAGTGAAAGCACTGACTCTTGCAGAGGACCTGGGTTCAATTCCCAGCACCCACATGGAAGCTCAAGGTCAGGTGTTCATATGCCCTCTTCTGGCTTCTGTGGGCACCAGGGTCAAATATGTATATATGTAAAAATATATCTTATTTTTTCTTTAAGAAAAAAAAAAAAGAAATGCCCAATTCTTACCATTTCATCTCTTTAAAGATGCATGAAGAACAAAAAGTCAGGCTCTTCACTATCCAAACAAGGGGCATCCTTGGAGGTGCTGGGCTAATGAGGTCTCTTTACCAGAAGATTCTTTTCCCAGTATATTTACCCAGGACATGATTCATTAAAGGTGTCACAATGCACAATAAAACAGAAGCAGAAGTTCATCTGCCTACCTTTTATATATAGTGTATTGTAAAAAAGAGTCTGAGACTGCCAGAACATCCTAAAACTGTTAAATGTGTAGCTCTGATTGGTTAAGAAAACTCCAGCTACAAATGGCGCCCAACGGGTTGGCAAGAGTTTCCACCTAAAACCTGAGAAAGAAGATTCCAAAATGGAGCTAAAAACAGCTTCCTAGTTGTCTCTCTCAAGTTAGTGGCAGCCTGTGGGTTTGAGCTACTCTATGGAGGGTTCATGGAATGCGAGCTTGACTGGCAGTATGGTGGGAATGAGGCGTCTACAAGTGGCACATTGCGCTGTGTGG